TGACCAAATCAGACAGTGAACTTTGCACCATTTTGTTTCCCGTTGCAGGTCCAAGCCTGCCAAATGCCACACCTTTGCTGGCCGGGCGACTCAGGTGCCGGTACCTGTTCATCCTACTTCGCAGACTGAGGTCCTTCGCCTCCGAGACAGATGGCCGACGAGTGGTTCGGCTGGGAATCGACAGAGGAGGCTTCAGGAAAAGAGAGACGAGGAGGAGGAGGAGAAGGCGGCGGTTCGGTCTGTAGCGGAGACAGACCGGCTCAGGAGAGAACTTCTGGAGATCTTTGTAGACCAGGACAAGAAGATAGATTTTGTCCTCCATCGAAATCCTTGCAGCTGCGACCTCAACACGCTCTCCGAGGCTGTTCTTAGCCTCGGTTTCTGAGCCACTGAACTTAGTTTTAAAATCTTCCCCCCTTTACACAAAAGGGTGCATTAATGGAATTCCTTCCTGGATGGACTTGAACCTCAGACCTTTGGTGCCGAAAAGGTCTAACCATCTACCGACACAACAAAGGACCCAGGAGAAACTCTGCTATGCAAAGTTAGCGTAGTAGATTTTTTGACTTCCCCCGCCGATGTGAACATCCATTGGCCTTCCCTGTCAGGATTCTGGACCAATGAGCTCCCTCCCCCTCCCCTGAAACTTGCCAGCAGAAAAAAGCTCTTGTCTTAATTTTGATGCACTAAGTCTTCATAAAACCAGAGCAGCTGTCCGGCACTTGGTCCCAAGAATGCAGACCTTGCAGTGGAAAGTCCGGGTTAAGCTTCTGCGTGCCATAAGTTCAGTAAACTGGCCAGCCAAAGGTGTGATAAGAGAGCAATACTCCCAAAACACTCTCTCCTTTCTCAGGGCGTCTCTCCAAACTGTGAATGAAAACGGATTTCCCTGTCGTGGCCGTCATCTCCCCAGGACCTCTGGAAATTGCCCTGTGGGAAGGACTTCTAACAGCACTCTCAAGCCAGAGGCTGTGACAGCGACGTCAATTCTAGACCAGTTACAAACAGAACAGAAGTAGGAGTTGTAGCTTCTTCAACAGATTAAAAACTATTTTCGGATGGCTTCAGCCATAATTTTCCAGATTAAGGAGGAAACCTCCCTGCGGTATAGAAGTAAGGACATTAGAAAGGGTCGTTTTGGATAAGGCTTCTTTGGGTATACCCGCTCCCCCTTTTTTGAGAAGGCTAATCCATCAATGCTCTTCGTTTTTGTATTTTTAAAAAACCGGCTTCTCCAACATTGTTCCGACATGCATTCCGGTTTCTAAGATTTCTTTTTGCTCCTGTTTCTATTCTGAAATTTTAAAAGCCCCCCTTCCAAGTGGCAGAACAATTTTTTTTTTACCCCCCCCGCCACACCAAATTATTTATTTATTTTTTAAAAAATGACCCCCCCATTAATGATATTGAAAAGACAATTTTATATTCTTGTCTGAACAAAAGAATCCAAAGTGCTCGCATTCCCCCCCCACCCCTTTTGCTTTTAATAATTTAAAAATGGAACTGATTTCAAGAGTTCATAATAAATCTGTGTGTTTAACCAACCACTTCTGTCGATTGCAAACGTTTTCTCTGATATGTAAACATACGTAAATAGAGGGTGGCGTGTCATCCATGCTGACACGCTGATAATACCTTCATGCCCCGTGTTGTTATCCTGAAATCAGAAGAACCATGTTTGGTAAACTGAGGTGTGGCCAGCCCACTCCTCATTAATCCTGGGGTAACAGATCATGCAAACAGTATCAGATTTATCCTACATTTAGATGTCGGCAAAATGTACAGTTTTACGAAAGGCATTCTATAGAGTTTCTCAGTGCGTGAAACCCAATCTGGATCCACTATTTTGTGGTCCTGGTGGGGGGTGGTTCAGTGCAGGGGTCATTTCGTAGAAAAAGAGGTTCAGGATCTCATTAGCATAACTTATTTGCATATGCCACACCCCCTGGCATCACCGGAAGTGTGTCAGAAGGCAACACCCACCGCTCAGGCGCTACTGGACTGTTTTGGATTGCTAGCTATTGGGGGGGGGGGAACGTGCAGATCTGTCCTCACAGAGGAGGGAGAGCTTGTACCTGAATAAAACGTGGTCTTAAAGGTGCCACTGGACTGTTTTGGACTGGGGGGGGGGCTCTGCAACTTACCTGGCTGCTTCTTGCTCTGACTGAGAGCTGCTGGGAGCAGGGGGTGGGGCTTATTGCATGTGCCCGCCCCCTGGGCTCTTTACTGCCGGAGCTCCGCTCCTGTGCGCTCCTGCAGGAAATGACCCCTGGCTCAGTGGTAGAGCCTCTGACCTGCATGCAAGGCACAGGTTGAATCCCTGGCCACTCCGCTGAAGACGACCTGGCAGCAGGTGGTGTGAAGGCCCTAGGAACCCAGAGAGCGGCTGCCGGTCAGAGTAGGCAAGACTCAGCTTGACAGACCAAAGGCCTAACTCGGTAACTTTTTATTTGAAGGCCTGTGTGCAAACCAGAGAGGATCAACGGGCAACCAGTGATCATCTGTCCTTAATTACGGAACTGTCTTTGAATATTTAAAAAGTAGCTGGGTGTGTCTGTGTGTGTGTGCTGTGGACCAGGGAAGTGGTACTGGGGAAGGGGGCGGGGGTTAGCTCTTCCCCCCCCCTGTCCTATTTCCTTGATGAAAATCCTTCCTCCTGTCTAAGGCTCATCAGTGGGGAAAAGATATAGACCCTTTAACTATGCATGTCTTTCCACTCCTGGGGAAAACCCAGGTGGGGAATTTTCAATTGGGGAAATGGTCTTGGGGGGGGGGGGATTTAACAATCCCTCTTTCCCGTGACCCCATTTCATCCCCCCCTCCCTGCAGCTTTGAGTAACGAATTACACATCATGGAACATCAACATCACGGGTAGTTTGAATGGAAGATGATGTCACCTGGGAAAACCTGGGGTTGTCACTAGCCCTTGCTTTGGCCTCCTGGGTGGGTTTTCCTCCTGTGTAACTCACGGTGGCTCAAGTGGTTAAGACGCTGAACTGCAGGCTGCGGAAGGTCAGTGGTTCAGCAGTTTGAGACCCGCATGACGGAGTGAGCTCCCGTCTCTGGTTCCTTCCAGCTCCTGCCAACCTAGCAGTTCAAAAGCAAGAAGTTGCAAGTAGATAAATAGGGACCACTTTGGTGGGAAGGAAACAGCGTTCCGTGCACCTCGGTGTTTAGTCCTGCCGGCCACAGGACCACGGAAACGTCTTCGGACAGCGCTGGCTCTTCGGCTTGGAAACGGAGATGAGCACCGCAACCCTAGAGTCGGACTCGACTGGCTTTCGAGCAAGGGAACCTTTACCTAACCTGCCTCGCCTCCAGCTTGGGGGCTGTTCTCCCTCTTCCCGCTCAACCCAGACCCTAGGTCTCTAAATAAACCTAACCCTTCTGGGCATTACTACAGACTTTGCTGTTGGAAGGAGGGAAGAGACAAGTGATTGGATCTATACCCCGCCCTTCACTACCCGAAGGAGTCTCAGAGCAGCTTACAGTCTCCTTTCCCTTCCCCTCCCCAGAACAGACACCCTGTGAGGGAGGTGGGGCTGAGAGAGCTCTGAGAGAACTGCTCTTTCAAGAACAGCTCTGACAGAACTACGGCTTGCCCAAGATCATCCAGCAGGTCCCACTGCTGGGACCCTCCTGAGGGCACCTGGTATTTCTGGCCACTGTGAGACACAGAGTGTTGGACTGGATGGGCCTTTGGCCTGATCCAACATTGGCGTCTCTTATGTTCTTAGGTGCAAGTGGAGGAGTGGGGGAATCAAACCCGGTTCTCCCAGATTAGAGTCCGCGCACTCCTAGCCACTACACCAAACTGGCCCTCTGGGAGTGTCATAACCGAGTGTCAAAGTGTACAGCCCTGCCCTCTCTTACCAGGTTTAAGAACGTAGACGCCCTTTCTCTGCAAGCCCATTTCAGTTCCTTATCTGCCTCTTAAACAGTAGGAGGCAAAAAGGGAGGCAATCCCTATAAGAGATCTTGGACTGAAATGATCCAAGTGACATGATTTCCCGCTCGCTCGTGATCTCTTCCCATTCCCGCCCGTGTGAGTCTACCCGCTTTGGTTTTCTCGTCAGTGAAACGGGCACAACACAGACCCAAGCAAGAGAAGAGAGTTAGGGGAAGCAGCTTCCTTTTTTATTTCACCCACCACGAGGAGCCACGCCACCCTCCTGGCATCAAGAGTCAGCCGGCGGCAGAGGGATGTGGGTAGGGGGCGAAGGGCTGCGGGTGACCTTGAGAGCGCGGCAGAACAGGATGGGCTCTTTCCCCAGCCCCAGGCGGTACTGCCACCAATACAGCTTCTGCCTGGGCTGCAGGAAGACCCGTAAGGGCTCCTCCTCTTCGGACACTTCCTCCCACTCTTCCTGTTCCGTTCGCAGCCCCATCCCGCCATGAGCAGCGGGGAGGGAAAACTGAGACTGAAGAAGGGAGACAGTCAATGACTCGGGATCCAGAGACCCGGAGATGGAGAACTTTTGGCTCAAGGCCTTCTTGGAATAGCCGACTTTCCGCGTAATTTCCTGGCTGCTGGGCACCGGGAGGTCCGAGGCGTTGGACATCAGCGTCAGGCACTCCCAAACTCCGAAGGCAGGCCCATAAACGACAGCCAGGCCACCGGGGAGGAAGGAGAGCACGTCAGGGTGGACGGAGAAGACCTCTTCATCGCCCGCTGTGGACCACGCATGGCCGCAAAGGCCACGTTCCGCATCCATCCTGAAGCAGGCGAGGCGATTGGCGTCTGACCCGTAATAGTACAGTCCATCCGTAAACGCGGGCTCCAAAGAGATCTCCTTCGCTGAGCCGCCCGTGGCCAAGTCAGCCACAGAGAGGACGATGCCGCGGGTCAGGAAAAAGATGGAGAAACGGTCCTCGCAGAAGGTGTAGTGGTCACCCCCTCGGCAGCTGGGGTGCAGTGGGAGGGCGCCGGTGGGCGGTTCAGAGCTCAGGTCTGGGACTTTGAAGAACGCGTCCCCCCGGAGGAGGTAGACGGCCGAGCTGGAGGGGTCCCCCACGTAGTGGTCCCCGCCCCGGCAGGCTGGGTGCAGCTCCCAGACCTTGATATCTTGACCTGAGCAGAAGTCGAGAGCTTGAAGGAAGCAACCCAGGTCAGAGCGGACAACGAAGGCACCGTGGCGGGTGACAAAGACATCTGTGCCGGGAGAGTCTGTCCGGGAGGCGACAGTAGCCATGGAGTTCTGCAGCCAAGGGGGGGGGGGGAGAGACACGGCGGAAGGTTCCGATCAATTGTTAGTCATGATAGCCAAATGGAGCCTCCAGGTTTAGAGGCAGTGTATCCCTGAATAGCTCTTGCCAACCTAGCAGTTCGAAAGCAAGAAATTGCAAGTAGATAAATAGGTACCACTTTAGTGGGAAGGTAACAGCGTTCCGTGCGCCTTGGTGTTTAGTCATGCCGGCCACATGGCCACGGAAACGTCTTCAGACAGCGCTGGCTCTTCGGCTTTGAAACGGAGATGAGCACCGCAACCCTAGAGTCGGATTCGACGGGCTTTCGAGCAAGGGAAACCTTGACCTTTACTTTATCCCTGAATAGGGGACCGCGGTGGGTCCGAGGTTAAGACGCTGAGCTGCAGACCGGAAGGTCGGTAGTTCGGCAGTTTGAGACCCCCTAGCACGGCATAATGGAGTGAGCTCCCGTCTCTCGTTCCAGCTCCTGCCAACCTAGCAGTTCGAAAGCAAGAAGCTGCAAGTAGATACGTAGGTACCACTTCAGTGGGAAGGAAACAGCGTTCCGTGCACCTCGGCATTTAGTCACGCCGGCCACATGACCACGGAAATATCTTCGGACAGTGCTGGCTCTTCGGCTTGGAAATGGAGATGAGCACCCGCACCCCTAGAGTCAGATTCGACTGGCTTTCGAGCAAGGGAGACCTTTACCTTTACTTATCCCTGAATAACATGTCGAATTCTGTCTTCTTTTTGAAAAATAAGCTTGCATAACTCTTCGGTGGTCTACCTGTGTCTGGGCCGTACCACTTCAGACTGTAGACGGGGGCTCACCTGACCGAATACACCTCCTTGCCAAGCCCCCAATTTGTATTTCCTTTCTGGCACACTTGGTTTTTATGAGCAGGGAACAGTCTTGTATGAACAGGTACTACCGTGTTTCCCCGAAAATAAGACACTGTCTTTTATTATTTTTTCTCAAGAAGACACACTAGGGCTTATACCACAAATGCATAGAAATCCTGCTAGGGCTTATTTTTGGGGTAGGTCTTATTTTCGGGAAAACAAGGTATCAGTCCTTCAGGCCCCTACCTGCACTGCAAAGTGGTACGGCCCAGACCCGGGTTTCACCCCCTCCTTGAGATATAGGCCTCAACTGACAGTACATTTGGTGACAGAGGCCAGTTTGAGTCAGGATTTCGCCCCCAAAGTGAGATGCATGCAAATCCTTACACCCACCCGTCAGAGAGGGCAAGGGTAGCGGTCAGCGTCGTACTAGGATACAGACGATCCAGGTTTGAATCCCACTTTGCCACCGAAGTTTGCTGAGTGACCTTGGGCCACCAGTCTCACTGCCCAACCTACCTCACAGGGTTGTTGTGAGGATAAAATGGAGAAGGGGAGAGCGCTATAAGCCACACTGGGGAGAAGAGCAGGGTACAAACCAAGCAAGTAAAATAAATCCACAAACGGGGCTGGAGGGGAAGACATTTGGTGACAGTATCGATCGTTTTGGAGCCCTCATCTTGTCTCTGCCTTGACGTCAAGTCACAGCGGACTTCTGGGAACCCCCTTGGGCTTTCCAGGCAAGAGACACGCAGAGGTGATTTGCCATTGCCTGCCTCTGCGGCAGGAGCCTGGTATTCCTCTGGGGGTCTCCTCCCATCCAAATACTAGCCAGGGCCGGATCCTGCTCAGCTCCTACGGTCCAGTGAGATTGGGCTACCCTGATGTAAAGGTAAAGGGTTCCCTTGCTCGAAAGCCAGTCGAGTCCGACTCTAGGGTTGCGGTGCTCATCTCCGTTTCAAAGCCGAAGAGCCAGCGCTGTCCGAAGACGTTTCCGTGGTCATGTGGCCGGCATGACTGAACACCAAGGCGCACGGAACACTGTTACCTTCCCACCGAAGTGGTCCCTATTTATCTACTTGCAATTTCTTGCTTTCAAACTGCTAGGTTGGCAGGAGCTGGAACTAGAGACGGGAGCTCACTCCGTCATGCGGCACACCCAGGCCTCGATTTCACTCCCAGCTCTAAAAAGCACGTTTAAACGATAGGAGCACAACCGCGGGAGGATCTGCCAAGCCAGCAGTCTTTTTGGAGGTGGGGCTGCCTTCAAGGATGGGGGAAAGTGGGGGAGCCCACTGGATCGGAGCTACCATTGAGTCTCCTATGGCTGAATTTGGGACAAGAGGTCGAAGCTGCCCAGGAAAAGCTTTCTCCAAGGTGGCCAAAAGCCCAAGTCCTACAGTCTCCTCCTCCTGTGTACAGGGGGGACCCCACCAGTGTTCCCTCTAAGCTGAGTTAGTGTGAGCCAGCTCACCGTTTTTTTAGCCTCTGGCTCACACATTTCTGTCTTGGCTCAGGAAGGAGGGCTCCAGAGCAAACTCATTGACGCAGGAGCCCGATCGCTCGCTCACCACTTTCGTGCCAGTAGCTGACAAAGTAGGATTTTTGCTCACCAGACTCCACAGCTTAGAGGGCGCAGTGGACCCCACCACCGTCTGTAGCATAAGACTCGCCATCTACAGGGGAAAGTGATCCTGGCTGGCTGCGAAAAGCGGGGCATATCAGTCCGGAGTTGGGGAAGAAATGGGGACGGGGGAGAGGCTGGAGTCTTGGGGGGTGGAGGGTTGTGGCCGCCTGGCATTCTATCCAATGTTCCCTCTAAGCTGTGGAGTCTTGTGAGCAAAAATTCTACTTTGGGCGCTCCTGGCATGAAAGTTGTGAGTGAGCGATTTGGCTGCTGCATAAACTGGTTTGCTCGGGAGCCCTCCTTCCCGAGCGGAGACAAAAATGTGTGAGCTGGAGGCAGGGCTGAGGCCCTAAGCTATACAAAACCCAGAGGCCCCCTACTGTTTTAAATTAAATCAGTTGGTCTCAGAAAAATTTAAAATATATACGCTTTTTTTTAATATTTGAAAATATATTGTCTTTCAATTTTTATTTATTAAAAAAAGAACAAAGGACGTGTTTACAAAATCACAGAAATAATTACATAATTAAAGGGTTTTAAAATGACAAATAAGGCTCCAGCAGATTGCGAGTGGCCCTAAGCTGTAGCTTATTTAGCTTATGCCTAAATCCGGCACTGGCTGGAGGCTTAAAAACCGTGAGCTGGCTCACGCTAACTCAGCTTAGAGGGAACACTGGATCCATCCCTCCGCCCCAGAGCTGACTTCGAGGCCGGAGCTTAGGCCCTCGGGATGCGCCAGGATCAGCCCGTCCGACCCGACGGGAACAGGCTGCCGCGAGAGCGCCCCTGAGCAGCTGCAGAGTGCTATTACACAGCCGCCCTTATGCATCTCGCATTCGCGGGAGGCGGCTGCCATAAGAAGCTTCCAGGCCAATGTTGGATCGAGCCCCGGAGCCTCCCCATCTCGTCCCCTCTCCGCCCCCGCCCCAAAGCGAGAAAGCGCCTCCCCGGCTAGCCAGCTAGCCCGTTGCCACCGGCCCCCAAAGGCTAGCGGGAGAAAAGGGGCGAGGGAGGCGCAGGCCAGCCCGTCCCGCAACCCTGCACTGCATCGCACCGCACCTGGGAGCGGGCAACGGCGACCCTCGCCGGCTGTTGCAAGATAGATGCGTCACTTTCGGTCCCGGGCGCGGGCAGGCGGGCCTCGCAGGCTTCCGGCTAGAGGCGGCTCCGGGGCTGGGCTGACCCGCACGGCTCCTCCTCCTCCCCAGGGGGCGGGGACGCAGCTGCCGAGGGGGTGGGGCTGGTTGCCAACTGACCGGAGGGCCCGGAGCGCCGCTGCTTCCTCCTGCGCCTTTAGGAGCGTCGCCGGCTGCCAGCCTGAGCCTTTTTTATGGCAGGAGCGCGTCTGTTGAGAATCGCCTGGCTGATTCTGTGAACTCGGGCAGGCCACGAGAAAGAGGACAGGAAGGGCTGCATCAGAGCTTAGTTCTCCTGGCCCTTTCTTACAGGCCCAGGGAAATGCTGATCGCCAGTTTGGGGCCGGGAAGCAGTTTTTCTGCAGGCCAGTTTGGCCCCCAGTGATCCTGGAGGTTTTTTTTTGCCATCTTCTGGGCATGGAGCAGGGGTCACTGGGTGTGTGGGTGTGGGGAGGGAGTATTTGTGAATTTCCTGCATTGAGGAGAGGATTGGACTAGATAACCCTGGAGGTCCCTTCCAACCAGGGGTCATTTCATAGAAAAAGAGGGGCAGGCGCTCATTAGCATAACTCATTTGTTGTTTTTCAGTCGCACAGTTGTGTCCGACTCATCACGCCAGGCCTTCCAGTCTTCCGCCGTCCTCTGAAGTTTGCTCAATTTCATGTTCGTTGCATCTATGACACTGTCTAACCATCTCATCCTTTGCCATCCCCGTCTTCTTTGACCTTCAGGGTCTTCTCCAGTGAGTGCTCCCTTCTCATTTGGTGGCCAAATGAGAACTCATTAGGATAACTTATTTGCATACACCACACCCCCTGATATCACTGGAAGTGTGTCAGAAGGCAACACCCACCGCTCAGGCGCCACTGGACTGTTTTGGATTGCTAGCTATTGGGGGGGGGGACCTGCAGATCTGTCCTCGCAGAGGAGGGAGAGCTTGTACCTGAATAAAACTTGGTCTTAAAGGTGACATGGGACTGTTTTTTTTGGGGGGGCCTCTGCAACTTACCTGGCTGCTTCTTGCTCTGACTGAGGGCTGCTGGGAGCAGGGGGCGGGGCATGTTGCATGTGCCCGCCCCCTGGGCTCTTTACTGCCGGAGCTCCGCTCCTGCAGAAAATGACCCCTGCTTCCAACTCTGTGATTCTAAGAGAGTTGGCAGCCTTATGACCCTTCCCATCAATGCTTCCTCTAAGCTGTGGAGCATTGTGAGCAAATATTCTACTTTGTGAGCTGCTGGCATTCAAGCTGCGAGCGAGCGATTTGGCTGCTGCATAGATTGGCTTGCTCCGGAGCCATCCTTCCTGAGCGGAGACAAAAATGCGTGAGCCGGAGGCTAAAAAACTGTGAGCTAGCTCACACTAACTCAGCTTAGAGGGAGCAGTGCTTCCCACCCTGGAGCAGTGATCAAGCAGAGAGCCAGGCAGGAGTCTTTGCAAGGCCGAGGGCCGCTCTGGGATCTGCAAGTTGAGTGTGAAGGGCGATTTTCTCTTCCTTCTGGCAAAGCTGGGGGGGGGGGAGATGTGCCTTGCATTTTTGCCCCTCTTGTGCTGTGCGGGTGACATCCCTACTCTGTATTTACAAGTAAATATGTAAATAAATGATTTGGGATGGTAGGCTAATCTAGCCTTAAGAAGTGGTGAAAGTCAAGATTCACCAAGCTCTTGCCGTTTCCTGTGCCCTTTTAAAACTGCATTTCTATTTTCTCCCGACCTTTATTCTAGGCGCTGGGGACAGTGGGAATGGCTCCACCTTCACCAAGTTATCACAGCCGTCTTGTGAGGTAGGGTTAAGGTTAGAGACAGCGGCTGGCTCAGAATTCCACAGTTGCAGGGCTGAACGGAGATTCGAATTCAGGTCCCCCTGAGTTAAGTGCAGCACGCTGTCCTTTGCACTGTCCTGTCTCTCCAGGGGTTGCTTCCTCTCCATATGCACCTGAACAATCCTGGTGTGCTTCCTGTTCTTCCACTATGCTCTTGTCAAGCCTCTTCAGTTTACCCCTGTAGTTCTGCTGTGAAGCTGTAAAAAGGTAAAGGTTCCCTTGCTCGAAAGCCAGTCAAATCCGACTCTAGGGTTGTGGTGCTCATCTCCGTTTCAAAGCCGAAGAGCCAGCGCTGTCCGAAGACATTTCCGTGGTCTTGTGGCCGGCATGACTGAACACCAAGGCGCACGGAACGCTGTCCCCTTCCCACCGAAGTGGTCCTTATTTATCTACTTGCAATTTCTTGCTTTCGAACTGCTAGGTTGGCAGGAGCTGGGACTAGAGACGGGAGCTCACTCCGTCTTGCGGCACCCGGGTCTCGAACTGCTGAACTACCGACCTTCCACAGCCTGCAGTTCAGCGTCTTAACCACTTGAGCCACCGCAGTTCCGATGTGAAGCTGTATGAGGTGGTAATTAAGGGTACAGAAGAGGCCACCCTGCTTCAGAGTGCAGAATATGGTGGGATCCTGAATGCTCTCCTGCAAAAAAAAAAAACTCCCTGCAGATAGAAAACTAGCCTAGTTCCCCAATGATAGATTAGTTTTCTTCCTGTAGGGCAGATTAGGGAGTATTAATTGAAGATGCCTGTCCCAGCCATTGTGCTCTAGTGCCGGAAGAGACACAGGCCCAGGCATAAGGCAGACATGTTGGCAATTATCAATGTCTTTGAAAAAAACCTTTAAAAATGGCAGTTCTTATTTATGACTATCAGAACAGATCATTGGAAACCGATGACAGAGCCTTCCGTCCTCATGGTTCTCCCCCCCCCCCTCCCCTGTAGAAAATGAATCCTCGGTTTAGATTGAAGCATGTAAGGATTTTATTAAATTCTCCACGCGCATGATCCAAAACGCAGCTTCACCAAGAAATCCTGTGGCGCTTCTGTTCCGCTGAGATAAAGTAGAGGAGCGAATGAGAGACGGGAAAGACTGAGGTTCAGGGTGAAGGTGGCAGGGGGACTTCATGGGGTGGGTTGGAGCTGTTGGTGACCTGGATTCCCCTGCAAAACAAGATGGCGTCTTTGCCAAGGCCTAGTTGGTACTGCCACGTGTAGGCCACCTCGCTGGGCTGTAATGCGACTTCCAGGGTCTTCTCTTCCTCGCGGGCCTCTTCCCATTCCTCTTGCTCTGTGTCAAGGCCCGCCCCTCCGTACTGGGACGGCAGTGCAAACTGGGCCTTGGCGAGTGCCACGAGGACACCGCCTGGCTCCGGAGAATCTGGCAGAGAGGCCGTCCAACCATGTCCGGCATCGGCCAGCTTCTCCTTAGCGTAGCCCACCGTCCGGAGTAGTCTGTGTGACTTGGTGATGGGGATGTCGGAGTAGTTGTGGAGGGCTGTTAACAGCTTCCAGGCCCCAAATGCGGGCCCCTTGGCGAGGCCGAGACCCCCTGGGAGGAAGCTGAGGATATTGGGGTGTAGCGTGAAGAAACGTCCGCTGAAGTTGTCCCACAGGTGCCAGTAGAGGTAGCTGCGGATGCTCCCCACTTTCTCCTCGGACCACTGGTGTCCCGGATACAGGCCTGGGACCGGTTCTCCTGTGGCCAAGTCCTTCACTGCCGTCGAAGTGCCCTGGCTCAGAATGATGACAAAACCACCCGTGACAGCAAAATAATGCTGCCCACCGCAGCAGCTAGGGTGGAGGTTTCGGGCCTGCCTGCTGGGCCCGACGCTGAGGTCTTGGGCCTCTGTGAACTTGTTGCCCGTGACGACGTAGATGGAGTCGTGCCAACGGGAGCTGAAATAGTGTTTTCCGCCCCACACAGAAGGGTGCAGGGGCCGTAGCTCGGCGCAGGGTGAGGTTGGCATACTGGGCAGGAGGAGGTAACAGTTCAGGTCAGGGCGGACAGCCACATCTCCGGCTCTGGTGCTAAAAATGTGGATGTCGGGAACTTTCTTGCTCAGAACCATCACCACCAAGGCCTCTGTGGGGCAGAAGAGGGAAAGCGACATGGAGAATGAGAGGGAGCAGTCTTACCACAGAATCAACAGTTCCATCCATCCTTCTGTTCATTAAAATCACACACAGGCACAGTTTAGGGCTGCCAGGCCTCTCACCATAGTGAGGACAAAAATAGTTTTACCATAAGAGTTTCTGGCAATTCCTAGAGCTACCCTATATTACTTTCAGGTTTCTCCAAGAAGTCATGAAGAGACACTACTAACACACACACACTCTCTCTCATTAAAGTGCAATCCCATGCAGTGTTATGCTGGTCTGTTATTCTCCATAAAAGAAACTTGCATAGGAGTTAAAATAAGAACATAAGAGATGCCAATGTTGGATCAGGCCAAAGGCTCATCCAGTCCAACACTCTGTATCACACAGTGGCCAAAAATACCAGGTGCCATCAGGAGGTCCAGCAGTGGGGCCAGGACATTAGAAGCCCTCCCACTGTTGACCCCCCCAAGCACCAAGATGACAGAGCATCACTTGCCCCAGAGTCCCTATCTATACCTATGAGCACCTTTTGGGAAGTATAATAATAACACCAAAGTTTATATCAAGAGCAGAGACCATGTCTGCATCACCACAGGACATCTTTGGTAAAAATGCCAACAAACAATACAAAATACCAACAAGCAATCTTGTAAATATATCCAGTCATGTGTAATTATGTAATGTTGCTCCTTTCCCATTCTGCAGGATGAAGAGTTCAGCGAAACCAGAAAGCCTGTGTTCTCTTTCCCCCTAACCTGAGGGTAGTCCAAGAAACAATACCTGCTTTACAAGTCTCCACTGCTGTGGAGACTTACACATCAGCCACCACCCACTGAATTGCCCCCTCCTTCGATCACTTCAAATGGATTTAGATTTGGCACCAGCTGAATGACTCTTGCATTCTGGAACTGGCTGCTCTTTTTAATTTATATCCCCAACTTTCACCTCAGGTTCTCAAGGCGCAAAGGTTCACCGTGCTTCTCAATTTGCCAGTTAAGTGCTGAACACCTTCTTGTCAAAGATGTCCACTGTCTATTAAGAACATATAAGAGCATAAGAGAAGCCATGCTGGATCAGGCCAATGGCCCATCCAGTCCAACACTCTGTGTCACACAGTGGCCAAAACCCAGGTGCCATCAGGAGGTTCACCAGTGGGGCCAGAACTCCAGAAGCCCTCCCACTGTTGCCCCCTCCCCAAGTACCACCAAGAATATAGAGCACCACTGCCCCAGACATAGTGTTCCATCTATACCTTGAGGCTAATGGCCACTGAGGGACCTCTGCTCTGTATGTTTATCCAATTCCCCTCTTGAAGCTGTCTGTGCTTGTAGCTGCCACCACTTCCTGCAGCAGTGAATTCCAAGTGCTAATTACTCTTTGGGTGAAGAAGTGCTTCCTTTTATCTGTTCTAAGCCTACGGCTCATTAATTTCATTGAGTGCTCATGAGTTCCTGCATTGTGAAAAAGGGAGAAAAGTACTTCTTTCTCTACCTTCTCTATCCCATGCATAATTTTGTAAACCTTGATCATGTCACCCCGCAGTCCTAGTTTCTCCAAGCTAAAGAGCCCTAACCTCTATAACCTTTCTTCAAAAAAAAGTGTTCAATCCCCTTAGTTGTTTTAGTTGCCCTTCCCCCCACACCTTTTCCAATGCTATAATATCTTTTTTGAGCCGCAGTGACCAGAACTGTACAAAATATTCCAAATGAGGCTGCACAGGGGCATTATGATACTGGCTGATTTGTTTTGAATCACCTTCCTAATAATTCCCAGTATAACATTTGCCTTTGTTATTGCAGTTGCACACTGAGTCGACATCTTCAGTGAGTTATCTACCACGAGTCCAAGATCTGTCTCCTGGTCAGTTGCCGCCAGTTCAGACCCCATCAACATGTATTTATAGTAAGTGTTTTGTCTCCGATGTGCATTACTTTGCACATGCCCACGTACGCTGACACCTGCTCGCCCAGCCTCGACAGATCCCCCTGGAGCGCCTCACAGTCTTCCCTGGTTCTCACCGCCCTGAACAACTTAGCAGAGCTCCTGATGGCACTGTAATAGCTGCAAGACAGGCAGCAGTAAAGAGGTGTGTGCCTGCCCTGCAGGGATGGGGAAAGCTTCACCTCTTGAATTCCTGCCTGTCATGGAGGTCATAAAAGTTCAGGAGCCTTGAAAAGAAAGGAGAAGAAGAAGAGATTGGATTTATATCCCGCCCTTCACTACCCGAAGGAGTCTCAGAGCGGCTTACAAACTCCTTTCCCTTCCCCTCCCCACAACAGACACCCTGGGAGGGAGATGGGGCTGAGAGAGCTCTTGACAGAAACTGCTTTCTCAAGAACACCTCTGACAGAGCTTGTGACTGACCCAAGGTCATCCAGCAGGTGCAAGTGGAGGAGTGGGGAATCAAACCCAGTTCTCCCAGACTAGAGTCCGTGCACTTAACCACTATACCAGACTGGCCACCCCCATGTGGCTGATGTTCTGTGATCCTCCCCTGCTTTGTCACCCCTGCCCCCCCACACCATTTCCCCTCCCCGCCCCACTTCTCACAGCTCTTAATCCTGGTTGCTGCACACCACCGAAGTTCCTGCTTTACACGCAAGTCAGAAAGGCTTGTTTACTCCCCCACGACGGCAGGGGCTTCTCTCATTTCAACTGGCCCCTCCTTTGGCTCCTCCCAAGACCTTAAATGTCAACATGAACACCCCTCACCTACAGCCAGCCGCGCCTGTAATGTGCAAAGGAATCCCAACAGGGTGCCTGAAGGAGCTCTGCTCTCTCTCCCTCCCTTCTCTCGAGAGCAGGGACGTCTTATCTGCCTAATTCACATGGCAAGAGAGTTGCTATCTGTGCTCTCCACGTGGCTGGTCTGTTACTCAGGAGAGATGCGGTATGTTGAGCTGGACGTTCCTTGAACCTGCTGTTGCCTTACTATCTGCTAGCTGATGCACACTTGTTTCTGCATTAAAATTGGATTCATGCTTCTTTCTTACCTCCTACCCGAGGCTTGTTTTTAAGAATAAGAGCAATGTACCCTCAGAGTCTACCTAATGCATATCTGCATGAGTTCCTCTAATCTGGGAGAACCGGGTTTGATTCCCCACTCCTCCACTTGCACCTGCTGGATGACCTTGGGCAAGCCATAGTTCTGTCAGAGGTGTTCTTGAAAAAGAGCAGTTTCTGTCAGAGCTCTCTCAGCCCCACCTACCTCACAGGGTGTCTGTTGTGAGGAGGGGAAGGGAGTTCGCAAGCCGCTCTGAGACTCCTTTGGGTAGTGAAGGGCGGGGCTACGGGGGATTTTTTTTAAGAAAAAAAAAAAGCCGCTCTGAGACTCCTTTGGGTAGTGAAGGGCGGGGCTACGGGGTATAAATCAAATTTCTTCTTCTTCTTCTTCTTCTTCTTCTTCTCCTCCTCCTCCTCCTCCGAGCCTGCCTCCTTTGTGGACAGATAAGGCTGCTGCATCTCTGCATGGAAATGATCTAGTTGAACCCAGTACAGAGGCACGAGGCCTCGTTCACACATGCGGGGAAAAAGAGGTGGTAGAACGGTCTGCGTGATTAGAGTGTAGATCGCATTTTAGAATGCTTGCCTGTGTCCAGGCTTCCAGCAAAAGGAACACTAGCACGACCTATCTCCTTGACATGCTAGTTTTCTACTTGCACGGCTTTTTCTTTAAGGCGAAGGAATATTCAGAACTGAAATCCAGCCTAAATTCTGCCACCTCATGGCTAAATAGGGCTACCAGTCCTGCGCCTCCCCGTCCTGGGAGCTTTAGAGGGGTGGTGTTTGGAGGGAGCATCTGGGTCACTATGACGTCACTTGCAGGGGATCACTCGGTAGTAATGTCGCAACCCCACAACCCGGTAGGAATGTCCCCAGTCTCTATAGTAAATACCATAGAGACTGGGGAAATTCCTCGATTGTCACAGACAGGATTACCAGCGTCCAGATGGGGCCTGGAGGTTTCCCAGAATTATAACTCATCTCCAGATTACAAATATCACTTCCTCTAGAGAAACCGGCTGCTTTGGAGGTTAGGTTGCGTTGCCACGCCGAGCCAGTGGGAGACTAGGTGGAGAAATGGAAGGTGGCTGGCAGTGACAGTGCGGTGGCATTTCTGGGAGAACCCAGAAATGACATCACACCTCTCTAAGAATTTCCAGAACCTCTATGGCAAAACCATAGAATTTTCAGGAATTCCTAGATAGGACTGGCATCACGTCTGGGTTTTCTGGGATGTGACGTCACTTCTTTGCCAATGGTGATATTTTTTTCTTTCTTTGGCTGAACCTGCATCTCATTTTTAAAACAGTCTTGACGACGTCTTTCTTTATACTGGTGAGATGCTTGCTTGAAAGTGGTACAAAGAAATCTGCTATTTTTTCCTGCTTGCTGGCCGGGAATGTTGTTCTCCTCCCTCTTCTCTAGCACGCCCAGCATTTGCTGGCACCCATTAGCTTTAGCAAGGCAATAAATTACTTAAGGCAACAAGCCAACAAGCTACAAACTTCTCTTTACCTTCAAAGAGAAGGATCTTCTCAGCTTTCAGTTTTGCCCAGCTTTTGCCCCAGAAAGCCAAAATAGCCAAAAAACCCAGTAAAGACTGGGTGTTTACTTTGCAGAATGTATGTATGTATGTGGAAGGGATCTTTCTCTAAGTTTTCAGGCAATATAAAAATCACAAAACAAGATAAAATCATTCACTCTTAGCTTGTCAAGCAATGGAAAAGTTTCTTACATTCCTCTATGTGCGGTCAGAAGGTAAACAGAGCAGATAAGCCTTTGATTAGCGTAGTGCATAGCACACTTTATTAGGTACACAACAAGGACGGGGAACAACGGCCCGGGGGGCCAACTATATACATCCCTGGGGACACACCCCTGGTCACCATTGGTGGGTTTGAATCTCCCGCCATGGATCCCATTGGCTCCCCAGTGGAGGGACTAGGAGCCTAGTTCCTATTGTTGTTCCAGAGTCAAGCTCTGGCAGCTCTGTTTGACCGCTGGCCCCCGGTGGCGGTCAGCATACACAACAGTGGACATCTTATTTGGAGGCGGAGCAAGAAGAAGAAAAAGAGAGAGAAGAGATTGGATTTATACCCCGCCCTTCACTTGGAGTCTCAGAGCGGCTTACAAACTCCTTTCCCTTCCCTCCCCACAGCAGACACCTTGGGAGGTGGGTGGGGCTGAGAGAACTCTGACACAGACTGGTCTTTTTCAAGGACAGCTCTGACAGAGCTTGTGACTGACCCAAGGTCACATCAGCAGGTGCAAGTGGAGGAGTGGGGAAACAAACCGGGTTCTCCCAGATTAGAGTCAGCACACTTAACCATTACACCAAACTGGCTCTAGCTAGGGTTGCCAAGTCCTTACTGCATGTAGAGTGGGGGACTCCAGCGCTGTTTTGGGAGTTTAAGTGCGTGCCGCAATTACGTAACCCAGAAGTGACGCAACCACGTTGGGCACGCCGGGAGCGGGGCCACAGTCATCCAAGGGAAAACCATAGAGTTTTCCCTCTGATGACCGTGGCCCCGCCCCCAACGTGCCTGATGCGACTGTGTCACTTCCGGGTGACGTGCTGACGTGGGGCACGTCGCGTGCTTTGGGGGTGGGGTTCCCCCCGGGGCCTGGTCCGTCGGTGGCGGGTAACGGGCCTCTCGGGCAGGGGTTTCCCCGCCCCCCGGGGGGACTTGGCAAATACCAATGCAGATTCCACCTTTCTTCTGCGGGCCACTGGAGTGCCAGAAGGCAAGAGCCATTGGGGGCAGGAGATCTCCCATCCCCAGCAGGCACATGGCGACTGTACTTGGAGGGTGGACTGTATGGTGTTATACTCTGCCGAAGTCACTCCTCTCCCCAAACCCCGCCTTCCACACGCTTCATTCCCAAATCTTTGCCTCCTTGCTTTTTGATTAAAACAACCTGGGGGCACCTCCATTTTGCTGTAGGAAGACAAAGTACCGGGAGGGAATCTGTTTCTACAGACTTTTTTTTCTAGGTCTGGAACAACAAAACTGACTGCCCCTCCCCTTTCGGAAGTTAGAATGTTCAGGAACATCCCGTGGTACGACCGTCAGTTCTGCCAGAGACTGAAACCCTGGGTGCAAAGAGGTGATGTATAATCCAGTTTCTAGCCTGCTGTTAAAATAGGAGAGCTGTTTCCCTTCTACCTTCTTAGTCTTCTTCAGGAGGTAGTACGATCTCTTTGTCCTTTGGCTTGAAGTCTCCCTCCAACCGAACCCCGAATTTCTCATGCAGTATGGCTGGGATCTCAGAGCTTTGCAGTGCAGTCTCTGTACGCTTCTCCCCCGCAGTGGAGATAAGACGCCATCCCATATAGGTAAGGCGCCCGCCATCTTCCTTCCGCAGGGAACAGAAGGATTTGCAGGGGAAGATGGAACTGGGCGAAGTCTGGTGATAGGAGCACATGCCAGCAAAATCGTCCAGCTTCTTCTCCTCAAGGGTGAATTGATACAAAGGTCTCCCTTCCTTGCCGGGAACTTCCCGGCGCTCCAAGACCCAAATCCCCCCCTTGTTGCCCAACCAGAATATACCCCCTTTTTGAACGTGTTCTGTGCCTGGTTTCAACTCCAGGGGCTCTAGAAAGCCTTCCCCGAAACCGACATCGCAGAGGAACGAGCGTCCCTCCAGCTGGACCAAGATCACCATATGGTCCAGGGGGGGGCCATAGCGCCCCGTGAAGGGGTTCCGGACACGACCGGCCACCGCTTTGGCACCAAATCCCAGCGTCTGCAGCAGCCACAAGAAAAGCCCATTCAGCTCGAAACAGAAGCCGCCCCGGTGGCGCCGGACAATCTTGTCGTAGAGAAGGGGCAACGCCAAGGCGATCGGCTCCCTGCAGTGGATGCTCAGGCTTTCAAAGGGCACGGAGGAGAGATGGCAATGGTGGAGGCAGCGCAAGGTCTCCAGAGAAGGCTGGGCGGGACCCTGGTACCTGATCCGTAGTAGATACTGGGTAACGTCCATGTTGCTTAGACCTGGATCACCCTGGATAGCCTGATCTTGTCGGATCTCGGAAGCTAAGCAGGGTCGGCCCTGGTCAGTATTTGGATGGGAGGCCACCAAGGGTGTCCAGGGTTGTGACGCAGAGGCAGGCAATGACAAACCAGCTCTCAGTGTCTCTTGCCTTGAAGTCCCTACGGGGTCACCTTAAATCAGCTGTGACTAGATGATTAAAAAAGCCCCCTCCCTAATCCATGCTGGGCAGGATGCAGAAGCGATAGGAGGAGTCAGGAATCCAGTTTACTCCCCACCACCACCACCACCACCAGTTCATCAGACCTCACTGTCTTCTCCTACAAGCCTTGTGGATCAGGGATCTCTAATTCATAGTTGACAACTCAGCCAACAGGAATCCTGGCTCCCATCCCATCCTTCCTTGCTGGCTCAGCTCTTCCTCCTCCGGAGAATGACTCGGCTGGAATTTCTGGAGCTCTGCACACTTGCCTTGAGTAAAGTCTTCGGTTTCACTACTAGGGGAAATGAACGGGAGAGCAGAAAAGGAAACGAGGCATGTCACATGACCCCTGGGCACTGCAAAGAGCCTATCCAGTAGCCTCGCCTTCAACTTTATGTTGGCACCTTAACCCCTTGACGTCTCTGGCTGAGCAAAGCAAAGCGGATATTGGGCCAGTCGCATGAAACAGTAAATGGAATGTGGGATTCTCTCTCTCTCCGTCCCCCCCCCCTCTATAAATGTGCTATTTCGATTGTGCAGCAGCCAGCTGAATATGCCACCGGTTTAAACCAGTTGCAAACCAGTTCATCTGTCTAAAGACCTTTGGACTGCTGTTTTCTGAAAGTCTGGGGATGTTTAATAGAATAATTCTTGGCAGCCTCACCAAAAAAGAAAAAAAAGAAAAAAGGATCACAACAGGTATTGGGGAAAGTGATATCCATGAAACTAGTTTGAAACTGGTTTATATGTACACAAGAGACTCCCTATAGGTTTTGTACGGTGCTTCCACATGAGGACTTCCCTATGCACTTCCAGTGCAAATGAAGAAGGGTTCACAGTGGCCATGGAGGATTTATATTTGTGTTGCCAACCTCCAGATGGGGCCTGGAGAACTCCTGGAATTTTAATTGTTGGCCATGAATTGCCAGCTATCAATCAATCACATTAGAATGTTTCTAAACAAGTTCATTTCGAGTCATCTCAGCTCTTCGGCTGGAACACCAGAATACAAGAACAGGCATATAGGCAAAATCCAGTCTTCTATGGAGTTTATTATTATATGCCATATGATAAATAAAAGACTCCTTCTAAGCTCATTGAAGTCAGTGAGCTAAGAAGCAGTCTGATTCTCTTTAGAGTTGAGTTTTTGAAGACTTATTTCTTGAAAAGGAATGCTTATGGAAGGGACCTGGGATTTCCTCGAGGGGACCAGGCAACCGTAATCTCTATGGCTACGGCCTTTTCGTCAGTGCTTGGGTCATTTAGGGGGCAGGTGGTGGGACCACCACAGTGGTCTGAATCCATCCTTTTAGTTGTGAACTGTGATTTCCCCCCCCTTCAATATATTTTTGAATCAAATTCCAACTGTTCCCATTCCACCGTTCCTCTCTCATCATTAGACACAAAGATCAGAACATTCCATACTGTAGAGTTCAATCCCCACAACCCACCAATGGTTCAGTGTTCTCCCCGCTGGACTCCTGAATAGTCATCAGAGCCGAATTTCACTTCTTCGTTTCGGGACTAGTGAATGTTTGGAGGGGGCTGCTCAGAATTCTGGGGCCTGTCCGAGCTAAACTGTACCTCCAGATGTTCAAATATACTTTTTGCTCAGGGTTGCCAACTCTGAGTTGGGAAATTCCTGGAGGTTTGGGGGTGGTGCCTGGGAAATGCAGGGTTTCAGGATGGGAGGGAAGGATATGATGTCATAGAGACCGCCTTCCGAAGCAGCCTTTTCCTCCGGAGGAACTGATCACTGTTGTCTGAAGGTTGGTTGTAATTCTCGGAGATCTCCAAGCCCTGACTGGAGATTGGCAACGCAGTTCTTTGCACAGCATCTGTTTGTGTGTATGAGATGAAATGGTGCTTCTACCCTGGTGCCGTTTTGGGCTGCAAGTAGCCAGCAGAGCCTGAGATGATTTTAAAGAAGCGTCTCAATAAAATGACAGACCAACCACCTCTTGAGCTGCACGTTTGAGCGTGGCTTGTATTTCTCTTCAAACCCAGGATTTCTCCAGGAAAGACAGACATATGGTTCTCATAATTTCTGTGCCTTACCAGTGAGTGGTCTTTCACTCACTTATTGGACAATTAAGTCCAACATCAGCAGCAGGGCTCTTTTTGTAGAAAAAGCCCAGCAGGAACTCATTAGCATATTGGGCCACACCCCTAACAGCACAGCTCATTAGCACATTAGGCCGCACCCCCATGTTACCAGAAGTGTGGTTATCCAGCCACACCCACCTTTTGCTTGTCATTCTTACCTTGTTTGTTGTCAAAACCCAGGGCTTTTTTGTAGCAGGAACTCCTTCGCATGTTAGGCCACACACCCCTAATGTAGCCAATCCGAATGAGTTTCTGCTGTTGGGTGTGGCCTATTATGCTAATGAGTTCCTGCTGGGCGTGGCCAACTTGGGAGCCAGCCGGAACTCCATTCCTGTGCGTTCCTGCCCAAAAATCGCCCTGATTAGCAGAATCCCAATTGTTACATTCTAATTCATGGCAGGAGAACTAACTTGGAAGTGTTCTTTCCCAAATTTACTCGCTATCTAAAAGAGACCAAGACAATCGGAGAGAAGGACATACTCTCTCCAGCAGAGGGCAGCACACACAAACGTACCCATTCCTGTCTTTTCGTCGCCCTGATGGTTCCTTCCCCACTGTTAAGCACCTCGTCTTTTGCAAACCTTGTAGCCATTATGAATAAATAGCAAAAACAACATATTTAATTTTCTTTTCCTTTTTTTGGTAGTTTTTAAAGGCTTTATTATAAACCACCTTGCTCTTTTCACAAGAGACGGCTACACATGACAATGCAATGTACACACTGCTCATAGAATCATGGAATCATAGAGTTGGAAGGGATCTCCAGGGTCCTCTAGTCCAACCCCCTGCACAATGCAGGAAATTCAGAAATACCTCCCCCTCCACACCCCCAGTGACCACTGTTCCATGCCCAGAAGATGACAAAACCCCTCCAGGACTGCTTCCTGATCCCCAAAGTGGCAATCAGCATTTATCTGGGCATGTAGAAAAGGTCCACAAGAACTAAACACTGAGGCAACCCATCCTGCCTTTCCATCTCATGATCTGCTTAAGTTCACAGAAAATGCATTGCGGTCAGATGGCCATCTAGCCTGTGTTTGAAAACCTCCAAAGAAGGAGAGCCCACCACCTCCTGAGGAAGCATGTTCCACTGAGGAACTGTTCTGTCAGGAAGTTCTTCCTAATGTTTAGCCAAAAACTCTTCTGATTTAATTTCAGCCCATTGCTACTGGTCCGACCTTCTGGGGCAACAGAAAACAACTCCACACCATCCTCTAGATGACAGCTCTTGAAGTACTTGAAGATGGTTATCATATCACCTCTTAGTTGTTTCCTCTCCAGGCTAAACATACCCAGTTCCTTCAACCTTTCCTCATAGGACGTGGTCTCCAGACCCCTCACCATCTTCGTTGCTCTCCTCTGGACACATTCCAGCTTGTCTATATCCTTCTTAAATTGTGGTGCCCCAAACCGAACACAATACTGTAGGTGAGGTCTAACCAGAGCAGAGTAAAGGGGTACCATCGTATCTCGTGATCTGGACACTATACTTCTGTTGATACAGCCCAAAATCACATTTGCCTTTTTAGCAACTTTTGTGTACAAGCTGCCCAAAACCAGCCCCAGTGGACCACGGCAGGTCGCTGGTCATGTGTCATATGTTAGAGACTGCATGCCTTCTAGCTACTGCGGTGAAATCAAAAGTTAAGAGAAGTTTTACGATTGCTTGGATATGTTAAAATTGTAACATATTTCGTCTTCTTAATGCTCGGTTAACCTTCTGTTCGTTATCCATGTGAGCAGGCTTTAGAACAAAACCCCTGTCTGTTTCAAAACTAGCTGAGCCGGCGACCAGGACCAGGGCATTTTCGGTGGCAGCGCCTACCTGGTGGAAGGAGCTCCCGGTGGAGATCCGGGCCCTGCGGGACCTTTCTTCTCAGTTCTGCAGGTCCTGCAAGATGGAGCTCTTCTGCCACGCCTTTGAGAAGGAGCTGCTGCCACTACTATTCTACCATTGCCTTCTATGCACTGTCGTACTATCACCACGATTGTCTGGATCCCACTGGGGGGCGAGGCGCCCCTGGCATGAAGTGGATGATAGATTTCAGGAAGCTACTGTTGGGTTTAAGATCTACCCACCTTTGTTTAAATTTGTATTGTAAATGTGTTATTGTATTTTACTGTATTTTACTGTTTTATACTTGCGTTTTTATTGTTATAACCTTGGCACATGGTGCCCTTGTCAGCCACCCTGAGCCTTCAGGGTAGGGTGGGATATAAATGCAAGGATAAATAAAAATAAAAATAAATAAATGAACAGGTTTCTTTGAGCTCCTCAGTATGATCTGAAAAGTGGGGAGGCCAGCGACCTGAGTGGGGTACAATGCCCTGGAGCCCACCCCCCGGAGCATTCCATTTTTCCAAGGGGGGGGAATGTTCTCTGTAGAATGGAGATGAGCTGTAATTCCAGGGGATTTACACCCCACTGCTGGACCTCCTGATGGAGCCTGGTATTTTTGGCCACTGTGTGACAGAGGGTTGGATTGGCCTGATCCAGCAATGGCTTCTCTTATGTTCTTATGGGATTTCCAGGCCCCACCTGGAGGCAGTGGAAACTCGAGCTGCAGTGTTAGAAGAGTCAAACAACAAATATATACACTGCAAAAACCTTTTTTGGTATATAGGACCAGCAACAAACATCAATTTAAACTTCAATGTAACCACAAAAGGAAACTTCCCCCTTTAGAAGACTTTCAAGC